GTAGTAATGTCACCTTTATGATATCATCCAGCCTCTACCATATCCGATAATTCGGCACGGTAAACGAGCAAAGGTAGACTTGACCTGAATAGGTTAGAAGAATAACGGAACCACAAATTTTTAATCTAATATTCGATTGCTCTAGCAGAAGGTGAACTGGTTAGCACATCTTGAAAATGAACACCTTTCTCGGTTTGTTTTGCACGTTTGACACAGTGTACGATTAATTACCATGTTAACGTCGGTAAGGAGTGCGTAAAGTCGAAACAACATCTGCCATGAGTCAACATTGAACCTATACTCCATTAAAAGGTGGTGACAAATGGGAAGCTACAATTGGCCAGAAAACAGATGAAGATATGAAAAGTTACAAGGTACCCAGTCATGGTAGGCTCCCTTGTCCATCTTTTTATCTACATTTGGGTAACTGATAATTGCACCTTATTAAACGCAACACCCTTTATAAAAAGGTAATGTAAAATGAAGAGAAAGTGTCTTTGGCTTCTTGATGTTTTGAGCTCTTTTCCTAGCTTAAAAAGTTGAGTGATGTTCATTGTTAATTAATTCCAATCATACTAGTCTTGAGTTCTTATTCCCTCTTGTAACCATCTTTGTATTGTAAGACAAATTCAAATTATTTCAAGTTAATCAATAAACTGAAATTCAACCTAATTAACCGGGTAAACATCTTTTACCTCTGTTCTGAAAGTCTATCTTTTTTTGCCAACGGAGTGCGAACTATTTCTGTGTAGTGATTCGCTGATCTCTTATCCCTGGTGTAACACTTACACAAGAATCAGCATATAACACTGATCATTCTATTGGTAATCGCCGCCAATTGATTGAATTTTCTATCATCTGATAAGAAATTTACTATTATCATGGACAACGTCCATTTGCATCATGATCCTGATGATGAGAACTTTGTGAGAGAGAAAGTTCATGATATGTATCTACCTGTATATTCCTCATTCCTCAATCCAATTGAAATTATGCTTAATCAGCTCAAATTTTGCATCAAAAGAGCATCCCTAAAATGTCGATGAAGTTTTGCTACCACTAAAAATGCATCTAATTATATTGCTCAGGCTGATTGTCAGAATAAGAAAAACATGATGAATTATGTGGTTCGAAATCTACATTCTTTACCAGTCATAACTTAATAATCTCTTAAGGATTTGAACCAAGAGTCAACCTCATGTAACCTGAAAACAGGCTCAGTTCTGATTGACTGCCAAAGTTTATCAATCGTTCTCAAACAACTCAAACTCTCAAAGTGTTAAATCTGTTTCTGGTAATCTGGTTCTGATAATCACTGTGAATCTGGACGCTTCACAGTAATAAACTTTTGTTTTTGCCTTTTGTGTCTATTTAATAAGCAATGATGAAGCGTATTGTTACAACAAAAGCATACTTTATTGCAATTGTTAAATAGTTGTAATGCTAAGGATAGAGGTAGTCATCAATTTACCTAATGATGATAATATTTTAATGAGCATCAATTTGAATAATAATTAGATAGAAAAGCTGATTCTCTGCAGAATAATAAGATAAATGAAATAGAGAGAAAAAGAGGAAAAACAGTTAACAATAATCAATACAACTAGATAAGCAAATTTACTTTAAACATCATTATACTTTTCATTTGGAATAGATGTTTTGGAGTAAATGGAAAAGTAAAAGAAGAAGAAGAAAAAAAAATCATTTGATAGAATCGAGTTTTAACCTGCAATATTTTTAAATGTTGATATCAATCATACTCACAATGGAAATGAAAGAGAAAAAGAAACTCTTAAAAATAATTTATCATGAAAGTAATTTAATTATCATTTCATGTATTCAATAATATCGATTAATGTAATGGAAATCATAAAGTAATCTGACAATGATGATAAATGAGTCTCGAGTAATCGGGCGAACAGTGATTTTGATGGAAAACTGTCAAACAAGGAATTTGTTTCTTTTGTTTCTTCTTTGATCACTTGATCAATTGTCCATTCCATTTATTTCATTACTTACTGACATAAAATATCCAATTGATGGTCATTCCGAGGAAAGGTAAATCTTGTATCGTTGAGAACGCTCTTCATGTTTTTAGCACAATGGTCAACGCTTCTTGGACAATCGTTTGTTTTCACAGAAGCTATATAAAAGGAAGAGAGAAAGAAAAACAGTCAATAAATGACAGAATGAAATAACTCAAATGATTCTGTTGCTTTCCATTTTCCATGAAATTTCTCAAGAGAATCACATCATCATTAAAATCATTGTTTTTTTACGGCAAAAGCAAAAATAATTACGAAAACAGTTGAACAAGAAACAATTGCACAAACAAGGCGAATCCAAAAGCTTTTCAAATGAAATATTCAACATCTTTTTTTTCACTTTGCATTATTAATCGACGAGAAAATGACTTGAATTTCACCGAATGATTTGAGGAAATATTTTCATGCAAAAGTTTAGGGAAAAAAAAGTTGAGGTAACCCATTGAGGTTAAGTGTTGGTTGAAACTCAATAACAATGATGATGCATTTCATGGCAACAGTTGGAGCAAGAGCTGAAAATGGCGACTAAATGTTGATGACTTTTGAAATTAGTCTTAAGTACATAAAGGAGCAACAAAAAAGAGTGTAAATAATGAAAGCCCAAAAAATGAAACTTTGTCGATATTGGGTTTGATGGTGTTGAAGCATTATTTACGACTTTTCTTATAGCAATCTTGAAAGGTTCATTTTCATTTTGATTATCAATTAAGATTAAAGGGCTTACCTTTGATGAAAATATTGATCACTGAAAAGATGAATATAACAACTACAAGAGCAAATTTTTGAACAATTGAACTTTTCACCGTAATTGATTTAACCATCTTCCTATCCTTTTCAGATTTTGATAGTGTTGTTGATGTTGGAGTGATGAGGCTAATGGTTGATTTGATGATTTGTGATGATTACTGATGATATTGTTGAATAGTAACAACTTCAAGGCTCACTGGATTACATATCTATCCATAACTGGACTTGAACACACTGAAATTGAACACAAACACTTTAACATTTGGATTAAACTCTCAATTGATTGATGAATTTTTCTCGTTTTCACTAATTTTAACAGGCAACTTTGTATCCAAAATGCATCCAAAATCTGAAATCCTTATGAACAATTGTTAAACCAAGTGTTGAAGCACAATTAGATGAATTGAGACACGATGAAATTGTATTGATTGTTGTTGGTTAAGGCTGTAAGTTGAACAGGAGAGGAAAAGAGAAGAAAATGTTTCAAATGTTGATAACATTTAACCTGTTAAACCTGTGAAACCAAATTTCGTTTCCATTACATTATCAATTTCCATTTAATCCAAACACCATTCACTGTCCTTTTTTTACCTTAACCTTGCTCTCTTCACCTCATTCCAATCATCACCGACATCCTTTTCACAATCAAATTTATATTCATAACGATTATAACTTATGACAATATATTAAGTTAGACAATAACTAATAATGTTAAACTTGTCCTGGGAGTGAAAATATACAAAACTCCAAACTCAGGCAAGTTAACATTATTTTATTGGATTTAAGCGCAATATTCACTTTTCCACATTCATACCTACTCCTTTACTCTCTCTCTCTCTCTCTCTCTCTCTCTCTCTCTGTCGTCATTTTTCATCTTCTTATCTTCCTTGCTTTTTCTTGCTTTTTCTTTCCCTTTCTTTTCTTGATGTTCTTCTTCCATTTCACCCAAACAAGGAGTCGACTCAAGACTCAGGCTTCCCAACTCATGGCTCACCTTCAACATCGATATTAGTTACTGTGAGAATGAAAATCATGTAAAGCTTCAAGAAATACTGAGTCTTAAGAACGAACTGTTGGAGTTTGAACAGTGTATTTAAGATTGTTAGACATTTAATTTCAATATAAATGTATCTCATTTTACTTTGAAATTTCTCTTTAGACCATGAGAAGGGAAACTAAACTTGGACCAAGAATTATAAATACACTGATTCTTTTAATGATAACTTTTTTACTGTTTCATGTACATGAGAGATTGAGTTGCGAATCAAGGATATGAAATATTAGACGTTTTATTTTTTGTGGTTCCATGACAACTACGCAACAATAGCGAAAATTGAAATTGATGATTAAACATAATGGGAAAAATTCAATTCTGTATTTATAAGTTTTCCATGAGCCAATAATATATACAATGCAATTAAATGAAATATTGATACATTATCAATCAAATTGAGTTATCTTGTGTTCATACACCAGAACTCTCGGTTTCAACTCTCAAGCCAGAACGTTATTCATTGGACAATTCTAGCCGCGTGAAGTACAGTGTTGCTAATGCAAGTTTAAGCTCATGTAAATCAAGTTAAATTGTGAGAAGAACCATTTCATACCCATTGAATCGCTGAAATTTTCAACATTTTTCTTTAAAATTCACTGCGTAATTTGGTTACACAATTTCAGGCCATTACATTAGCAGTAAGAAAGAATGTAAAAAATGATGTTGATACAAATTCCAGAATTAATGGCAAATTTTTCAAAACCTTTTTTCTTTCAGATCCCATCACTTAAAACCAAACACTAAACTTAAAAACTAGAAATCAATACTAAATCTAGGCACTAGAACCCAGAACTAAAAGTATGGCAGCACTCAGTTACTTACTGCATTCATACAAACTTAGTTCGGGATGATCACTAACAAAATCAACTATGATACTTCAACGATAACTTAAACTTAACACCATTTTATTGATAATTGAATAACAAAGTAAAACCAACATGAAAATTATATTGTATTGAAGCCCATAAACTGGTGTTAAAAAAAGTTTGGTGACATGTCGAGGTTGTGAATCGCCATGCGAATTCAAAGCTTTTATTTACATTCTTTACCAGTCACAACTAGTCCAAATAACTCACACTCTACGAGGATCCAAGACAAATGAACTCTATGAGTTTATAAAAGGTCAAACTCACTAGTTGATTGATTATGTGTTTGTTTTATAACCATCTCAATGTAGACTCTGCAATCATTTCGATTGTAGACAAAGTTTCGTTTTTTTATCAACAAAATTTACTTTTCTTCAAACAGAAACTCTACACAAAAGCAGTCTTAAGATAACATGTCAGATGAAATTTGAGGATCTCCCTATCATTGCAATTCTTAATCGATTACAAGAATTGTATTTCAAATTATTGCTGAAAACTTTAGTCATTGAAGGTAGAGTTGAGCGTCAATGATTAAACTGATGATATGTTACGAAAAGTTAGTAAATGAGTTATTGCAAAAGGAATTGAATGGATCATCGTGACACCCTGAAGGCTTTTATGTAATTCTAGACACGTATTTTAATAATAAAATTTGATAAATCAAAATGCCAATAATAATGTGCACCAGCAAAATTAATGCCACAGAAATATGAAAGGACAATAAACTTTTCTCTAGCAAAATGCAGTGGAATCAAAGTTATCGGAAACACAATTCCATAATCTTTACAAATGCTAATTGTCTGAATATCAATTTTAATATAAAATTAGATCAATACTTTTAATTACAAGAGAAGCAAAATTTATCGATTAATTTGTTGGAAAAGAATATGAAAATGCAAATTGTCTCTATTAATCAAGATTATCCAGAGTAATTGACTTTCATTGAATGTTCTTGAATTGATTTATAACAGAAAAGGTTATTGAAAATAAATCTCCATTCAACATTGATGTACAACATAATCAAACCCAACATTGTCCTATTTCACAGGTTCAACAAAAATGAGGGATTTATCGTCATGGGATTGAACTTGATTAATGTAATTGCCGGTTCAGCTCGTTTTCAATTGATGAATTTTTTTTTTGTTTTCAATTTTTTGTCTTGACAATTGAATCATCAAACTGCTGCAAGCGCCAACCAAGAAGAGTCCATCATTCAATCAATCGAATCCCCTTTTAGCTAAAGGCTTTATTTACCAGACAAATTGTGGTCGTTTGTTGAGCGATAATTTTATCCAGTAAATTAGCAATTCGGGCAACACATTGTTTTAATTTGTGTTGAACATTCAGTTGAAATGCATTGAAAATGGATAAATAAAGATTGGGAAAACGATGTGTTGTTAATAGAAGATGGCCTCAAGAGATGATCAATTTTAATGTCACATCACTTATTAATGACAAGTTCACTTGTATCATTATAAGTTTATTTCAGCCTGGAGCTGTTATCAAATAGTAAAAACGACAGTTATGCTAATAATGTACTCTGTTTCTGTACAAATAATGTAAAATGGAATTGAATAAGCAAAGGGAAAAATGAATTTGTCGAGGCAAGATAAAGTGTTTTAAAGTTTAGTGTTCTTTTCATTTTTATTCAACTTTATTCATGTTGAGCCATGTTTGAGTTGGTAAAATATTCCTACATAATTTAATCAATTTTAGTGGTAATTTTGAAAGTTTTCAAGGTTCATTTCATGGCATTCTCTGGATAAAGGAAAGACAAAGCTATTGAAGGAAACGTTTGTTGCAATTTCATGTTTACTTTTTGTCACACATTCAATGAATCGAGAAAAACTTGGAAAAATCTTTTTGCAAGCAATCAATTAACATTGACCATTTCAACCATCAAATCATTTCAAGCATTGCCCAAGAGTTTGACCAATCATTAGCTTGGATAAATTTGAAAACATAAACTTTTCAACAAAATGAAACGTTTAAAGAATAATGAAAAGTCGAGAAATGAATCGATGACATTAATTGACTGATGAAAATAACATTTTGTTAAAAAAACGAAAATTTCGTCAAAACACTGTTCCATATCCATGGAAACAGTTTCTGCGTAATTTTGATTGTCACGCTGTTGACAGGGAATTTGGAAAATTATTTTACGATCTCTTTACTCATTACTTGATAATCAGATAGTCTTGTACTTGTAATCAACTCTAAGTGTATTCATTTGTTGTTTCGCCCTTTACCTTGTTTCATCCTTGCTATACACTAGATCATCATTATGATTATCACATTGGTTAAGCTTGAGTAAAATGAAAATTGAAAAAAAAAGTGAAATGATAAAATTGACATTTCAAGTCAATGTTCATCTAAAGTTGCTGGTTATAATGATGGTTATCATCATCATTCATGGTTTGATAATAAGAGCAACCTACACCCTAACATTACACACGTTAGACAGTCTAGATACTGACTACTAATGTTACCATCGCTTACTGAACTTTTTCAAATCATCAAATAATTCACCAACATTGACTTATTAATAGTGATGAAGAGCAACGAGTAAAAGAGTAAAAAGGTGAATTTTTCAATTCCATTTAATCAACTTGTTTAACATTTTGCTTTCCATTCCATAAATATCTGAGTATTTGCTTTGATATCCTGCAGGACCTTTTGTTTCATTCTTTTGACTCACTGAATGAGAATCAATTTATTAAATTACTTCCTATTCATTCTGACCAAAGAGTGTAATTTACATAAACGGCTATTCTTTTGCTACAATAATTGTCTGTATCAATGATGCCACTAATATGATAATAATATAAATTATCTATTCATGAACTCAACTGCCTGCAGTTTCATTCATTTGTACCTCCATTCAAAAGAAAAGTTCATGTCAACTTTGCAAAACGATAAATCTAATAGACATGTTGAAATCCAGTGTTACCGATCATCGATGATATTAAGTCAGTATAATTCCTGCAATTGAAGAACTATAAATCCAGATTCTCAAGGAAATTCAAGGTCATTCGGTTATTTGACTTCTAGTTGACTTTTAAAATTTCTGAAAGTGCAAAATTTTTTGCATCGGATGATGTTTATTTCATGTTGATGACTCATGTGAGTAAAAAGATTTTGCACCAAAAACATGCATTCCCGTACAGTACATAAACATTCATATCTTTTTACTCACATGAAACATGAAACAAACATCATCCGATGTAAAAAAGTTTGCAATTTCAGAAATTTTAAAAGTCAACTAGAAGTCAAATAACCGAATGACCTTGAATTTCCTTGAGAATCTGGATTTATAGTTCTTCAATGGCAGGAATTATACTGACTTGATATCATCGAGATCTGACTTATGGTTCAAAAGCTATGAGCACAAACGACCGTCAAGGATAAAATAAGCGCAGTATGAAGAGGAGTTATCGATACTTATTTTGAAATTGAACTGCTTGGCTGAAGTGACCGAATCGGAAAAAACACGTTGAATTTGCAATTGCAAAGTTGGTAAAAAATTGCAAAAATTGGTTTATTCACAAAAAATATATGAAGATGAGTTATCGATACTTATTTTGAAATTGAAATGCTTAGCTAAAGTGAATGAATCGGAAAAAACACGTTGAATTTGCAATTGCAAAGTTGGTAAAAAATGGCAAAAATTGGTTTATTCACAAAAAATATATGAAGATGAGTCAAAGATACTTATTTCATTCTTAGTTCAATGGTGACGCAAAAGCTTAACGCTCGCTCAGACTACACCGCTCCCGGCTGGCCTAGTATCAGCACTACAAAAGGCTATTCAACCTCATTCACTCCACGTTTTACCCAATATCTCAAG